CCTCAGAGCAGCCTCAGGGGACTCTTGGCTTACAGACTTTCGTGAGTCTTGTCTTTAGGGATGCCTGGGGCTCCTTTGTCCTTAGAGCAGCCTGAGGGGGATGCCCCTTTTGGGCACCCTTGTGGGTCACATTTCTAGGGTCGCCTAGGCTTTCCTTCTCCTCAGAGAAGCCTGATGGAGATGCCAGGGTTGGGGACCATTGTGGGTCTTGTCTCTAGGATCACCAGGAACCCCCTTCTCCTCAGAGCAGCCTGAGGGAGAAGCCTGGTGTGGGGACTCTCCTGGGTAACCTCTCTAGGGACACCTTCTCAGAGCACCTGAGGGAGATGCCAGGCCTTGGGACCCTCATGGGTCATTTCTCTAAGTAGATCCAGGGTTCCTATCTCCTCAGAGTGGCCTGAGTGAGACGCCAGTGTGGGGACCCTACTGGGTCTCACCTGTAGGGCATGTCACAGCTTGTAGGGGCATGCTGCAACATGTGGTGCCACAGTCTGGCTGGGCACAAAATAACCGAGCCGCCAGGAGGCACTTGTAGGTACAAACAGGAACTCCTTTATTGCCCGAACTCCCGAGAACAACACCCACACGGCCTTTCCAGGAACATCACCAACCGGAAATCCCTCCTCCAGAAGTTCCCCAACCAAAGTGAACTCCCCAGGAATCCCCAGGAGAACTCCGAAGTAGTGGGGCGCCCTGGGCACCCTAGGCAGACAGCAGGGGTCTATACACAACTGAATACACAGCTTAACTTAGACATTATCATCTCAATGGCTCACTGGCATCACCTCTCAACCACTCCCTCTGGTAAAATGCTAGGCATCATTCCTACTTGACTGTGGCTCTCAACATCTCCCCCCTGACAGATTATTCTAATGTCTTCTTTATGTAAGTGGGTTTTCCAGACTGTGGGAAAAGGAGCAGTTTTAGAGATATCCCTTCCTGAGATTGTTACAGAAAGACACCAAAGCCTGTGCTCTCCCATAAGGTAGCTATGAATCTTTATGCATGTGACAGATTTTGGAGAGTCCCACACCTTTGCTGCTACTGAGAAATTGTGGAAATAGATCATATAGGAATGACCAGTCCACTCTACTAGGGTCAGGTAACCTAGTGGAGACTCAGGTGAGGTCTGACTTCCACCTTAAATCTTCTTTGATTTCTGTTTTTGGCAGAAGAAAGATGGTCCAAATTTAGGTATCCAAGCTAGGAGAGACAATGCAGCTCATCGGTGCTCTCACAATCAAACCTGAGAGCAACAGGCCTCCAGAGACTTCAGACAAATGTGAGCACTGGGCTGGCTTCTGAATATTTCACACAGGCTTCTTCAGTTTGCTTTCTCCCACATAGGGAGTGGGAAAGGTGTTTCAGCAGCACTGATGGAACCAAGTGAGTGATGCCTGAGCACAACCAGATGAGGCTGATGCACTTTGCTTCCTTTTAGAAAAAGCCCCTTCTGTACCTGATTTGTAATCTGGTGTATTAAGATTTTTTGTTTTTATGTTTTATTTAGAGACAGGATCTCACTAAGTTCCTTAGGGAAGAATGGATAATGTTTGGCTGGAAATAAACTTCTCCATGCTGTGTGCATCCAATAATAAGTCAAAAGGTTAGTGTCATATTGTATTCAACCAGCCCTATGTGGTGTTGATGGGACTCATTATTTCTGTATAAAACTTACTTAAATGTAAATTTTAGTCCTTCTGAAAATCATTACCAGATAATGGTAGGATTATTGTACAGGAAGGGTGCTTAACTTTGGGCAGGGACATAATTAATTGATATTAGCAGATGCATTTACCTCCATTATGGACTTAACTAAGGCACTAGACTGTGTGGTCTGTGACCCCTACTCTAACAAGTATTATTCACTGTGGAAGAGCAATAAAACCTCCCTTGGATTCAGGCCTTGTCCTGACATTTGGCGCTACATAATCTATGGTAACACTCTTTTAGCACCATCTTATCATGTAGCAGGCACTCCCAGATGACGCTTATTGTTCATCTAGAGTATGATTCACTGACCTCATGATGACTTGTTTGGCAAGTGGCATAGTTACTGTGGACTGGCATGGCTGTGTACCCTCAGGCACTGTCACTCTTGTGGCAAGTTTATTTCCCATCCTGCAGAACAGCAGTGCCTTTGGGGACCTAGCCCAGGGTCTTGAACACATTGAATACTTGTTGGAGGGAATTTTGCTCATCCACAAATATTGGCTCAATGTGTCTCTTCAGAGCCAGCCTCCAGTTCTCATTGTATTGGTGAGACTTGTGCCACCATCACACTGGGGAAGGACATTGCCTTCCTCCTGGCAAATGAGATGCAAATGACTCTGACATTTCAAAAACTTTACTAATTAACTCTAAATGGGCTCTGACCTGTGTGTCAAGATCACATGCTTGACTTTGACTCCTTTTTCTAATACCTGGAACATGAAACTCTCACTTTCAGTGAGATGAGGCTACAACCCTCAAGCAAAAGTCTACACATTGGGTCAGTTCACCCCTTGGGTCAGTGTGGAAAGGGAATAGAAGTGGACATGGCTTTCAGGACCCTCAAGAAAGGGGTAGGAGGCAGAATGGTCCAGTATGGGAGAAAAGTTCAGGCTGCGGAGGGTTGGGGCAGAGGGGATCTCCCGAAAGACAATTGGGAAGGGGGATGGGGTCTGTCACTCTGGCATCCCATTAGGTGAGGGCTGCTGTGGGACCACCAGAGCAGGCTGCAGGGGAACAGGGGCTTCTGCCTGGGGGCTGCTGCCTCTGAAGGCATGACGCCTGTCTTCATGGAGGTGCGGCTCTGATGGAAGATTTGGAATTTGGAGTTGAATGTCAATATTGGCAACATCCTGAGGAGGGCCTATTCTGATCGCGGCAGTCATGCCATGTCTGCATCGTCTGTTGACCCAGTACAGCAGTGGGCTGTAACTGAAGGTGGCAGCTCTCATCACCTCCACCCACTGCTGGGCATGCTGCCTCCTCTGCAGGTTCTTCCTCCAGTGTAGTAAGAGGATGCAGCCACCAGTTATCATGGTGCAGAGCCCCAACAATCTGAAGAACCATGGGACCCACACTGAGGCAGTAAAAAAAAAAAAAAAAAAAAAGGAAAGAGGCAAGCTGACTGACAGCTCTAGCTTGGGACCTGAACTGTTTCTCATTCCTCTCCTGGATTTAACTCCTTCTTCCTCTCCTTCCTTCCCACCCTTCTCGAAGACATGCCTAATAATTTCCTGATTCAGTCAAACCTATATCTGCAAGGCACATAAGAGACCCCATTAGCCTTTTCCAGATAAGGAACACTAGGTGTAGAGGGGCCATGACCTTCCCAGACTCAAGTCAGGCCTTCTGGCTCCAGTCCAGGACCCATGCAGTCCTTCAGACTGAGAAGCCTCATGAAGGGCAAGGACCTCAATTGTATCTTTTCTGCTTGGGCAGAACATGGTCTCTGCCTTTGAGGAGTCCTTAGTTTCCTAGAGGAGTCTGTCTCTTAACTAATAGCACTCCATTCAGGCAGCCACCACCCCATGCATGCAAAGGGTCTTCCCTGAAAGTTTGTCCTCCACACTCAAAGTCTGGGTGTACTTATGGCCTGCAAGGCCCAGATCCTCCTTTTGCAAATCCATAAGGTTCACTCTGGTTACCGGGCCAATAGCTCTTGAAAGAGTGAACTCACCCACTACTCTGCCTACCAATGGGAGTCCCCAGAAGGCCCCAGTCCCAATGTTCTCTAAAGATGAGGTCACCGGGTTCTGAGCTTCAGGAATTCTAGGGCTTGTGCTTGTAGAGTTGTTGACAGTTGATGGAATAAGGGACTCCATCTTGTGACATCTCATGAGAATTTTGTCTTCCATGAAAGACTGGTCCACCATAGAATTGTTTGTCCCCAACTTTGTGTGATGAACTCACAGGGCAGCCTCCAGGAAAGGGCCCTTACACCCTCAGGGGCTTCTACTTGTGTTTTCAGTTGTTAGGGAGCCATTTTCCAGTGGGGAGTGGGGCAGGGAGGACAGTGAGCATTGGACAGCCCTACCCTCAATAAATATCTTACCTAGTTGTCAGGGAACACAACATCTCAGAAGAACCATGTGGTCCAAACCTCCTCCTTTGGCTCCTACCATCTCTGTTTTGTTTCTTCAAGAAGTGTTTTTTTGGGCATCTTCAGGTCCCATGGGACCTCCCCCCACGTGGTCCTGCTTCTCTTTCCAGCTCCATCTCCCTTCCCACCCGTCATATACCTTTCTGCCCTGGGCATGCCAGATTCCCACAGACCCTGCTTATTCCCCTCTGGACTTTTTGCTCCCTCACTCAGGAGTGTCGCTTACCACATTTCCACCACACTGAACACCTCCTTATCCTCCCAGGTGGTCAACTCCCCTACTCTGAGACAAATAGTCCTTTCAGTTGATTTCCCAGTTTCTAGAACTCTGAAGCAGATGAATTTGAAACAAATTGGTCCCAGTTACAGGAATAAAAGTGATTTCAACAACTATAAATTTGTATAAAGTGTAACATATAGTGTTCTACAGATTTAATATATTATTTTTAGAAAGTTGCTCTATTTGAACTGGTATAAAAGTGATGCCTTTTGAAATAACACCACCCGCCCACCATGAACAACTAAAGTTCAGTTAAGTATAAATTAAATTTTAAAAAAATTAACCTGAAAAACCCCAGCATGATGATCTGCCACTGAGTCTTATTTTAAAATTGACATTTTTTTTTCATCCCCCTCCCCCCATCCCCAACCTGGGGGGAAACAGGATTACTTTATGTCCCCATCCAGTTATCTATTCTTGAGCACACACCCACCATGGGAGTGAAGAAATTCAGAGTTGGGGATGGCAGCAGAAGACTTAAAAAATGATTATATCCCAGATTAACAAGTGAAGTAGATCCAGGCACACCTGAAATCACATCATTAAAAACCCTCTGTTCCCCCTGATGTGCAGAATCACAGCCTCTGGGACAAGAGTCCCCTGTCTTTTTCCTTTGCTTTCAAAGCAATTAAACTTCTGCTTATCAACTAATATACAGATAAACAAATGGGTATATCCATCCAACAGAAATTATGTGTGGATTTGTGTATGTACATATACATTGTATTTATATAAGATTTTGATATTGGGAATGGAACCCAGTATTTAGTTATTGAATAAACAATATAGGAAGCCTAAATCAATTAAAAATTGATTAGTAATTTTCTCTCTTGAAAAAATGTTCATAGCAATTATACTTATTTTCTACATCTGTATTACTTGTTGAGATGTGCATATATATGTGTGTTTGTCTATAATATATGTATAATATAAAATATATAATACATACACATATATATCTACATATATCTATATCTATTATCTATCTATATCTATAATCTATATATCTATATCTGTAACTATCTATCTATCTCGCTATCTATCTATCTATAAAGTTAGGGCTGATGCATTAAGACTATGTAGGAATAACAGTTAACAAAGAGATGTGCTCCTTATAAGTAATCTTTATTTGAAAGTCCTTGGAAAGATCAATTATTGCTACAATTAAGAAATCAAAACAAGTTGACTTGTATCTAATTTTTCCTATTTTATTTCATAGAGTGCTGTGTGGAGTGCTCCTCAGCCTTAGAGATTCACAGATATTCCAGAACACAGTGTCCATGGTTTGCAGGTATCACTCCTTTGATCCTGGAGTTTTTTAAGTCTCTGGGCTGGGGCTCCATCCCAGCTGTCTCCTTGACCTCATCTGTTTGTGGAGCCTTCTGCCCAGCAGGGATAGCAGGAGTGGTCCTGATGTTGAGAGGAAGGGTCCCTTCACCTAGGATACGGGTGCCTCAGAAAAGACTCCTCCCTTTTTATTGCCCTACTTGTGTAAATGCAACTAAGACTGTAAACGGTGCTGTATGGGTGTGTGGCTACTGGCCACAGGCTTTTAAATAGATTCTAAGTGTTTGATGTTCTAGCACCCTGAATGATTCGAAGATGATTGAGTAAACATCTTATCCTAATTTTTAAATTATCAAGCTAACTTTCATTGTGGTGAAAAAAGATAAACACCAGCTTTTTTGTTAAAAACAATCATGAACATAGAAATCTGTGGGAACAAGTGCATGGAGTACTGCATACATGGCATACCTTAAGGGTGTCTGAGAGGCAAAGCACGGCCCTGTGCTAGGCGGGTGAGTAGCATACCATTCACCCCATAGGCACAGCCCTAGGCATGAGGCCACATGTTGCAGTACCAGCACTTGGTCCATGGCCCCTCCTTGATTGGTTGCTGCCAGGACAGTTGGACAGAAATTGTATTGGTGGCTGCCTATAGTCTGCTCAGCTATTGCCTAAGTTTATATACACGGTAACTATGCAATAAAATCAGACCCGCTTCCTGCTTGGTCTCTGAAGGTCTTGATTATCAACTGTACAGCCACACTCTCCTCTACCCTGTACCATGGACCTCCTCACTGGATGAGAGAGAGCCCACAGATATCCATCTCCAGGAACTGTGATTGGCATGGTGATAACCAGGAAGCAATAGTATGATGGTTTTAGTTTTACATCTGAATCTATAACATTCTCAGTTCACCTTGGCAAAATCAATTAATTCCAATAACTTCAACTTAGAAGGATTTTCTGATCCTTGACAACTAAGTTTGATCTATGTTTCTCACCCTTGACCAGGAACTCTCATTTGGATTTAGAAATTGTGATTAAGTTTCTTAATCAAGTATTTGTGTCTGTGACAAAATCAATGTTAATTTTAGTGTGCCCCTAAAGCCCCTTCAAGTGTGAATATGAAAGTAGCAAGTTATGTGTTTGTTGCCAGGTTGGAGTCATCACAAATCAAATATGAATTATGCCCTATCAAAATGTTTAATTATTGAATAGCCTGAAGAGGTTTTCTGTTTTTAAAAATGATTTACTGTCTTTAAAAGGGACAATATAAAAAAGTTTCTCTTATGCCACTTATCCTTAAGAGCATGGACAAATGATGCATTATAAAGTACTATGAACATTGGATCAGCCACAAAATACAGAGTTATTCTTACACTGTCAGCTCTACTGTCCATGAATATATCAGAGCAGTTACTTATAATTTTTTAATGTAAGGAAATAATCCACCATGAGTGAGAATCAGCAGGCAAATGACATCAGGATCAGACATTCAAAAATTTTACAGAATGAAATGGTGTTAACATTCCATAGTAAAGTATGCTTAAAGGGGAAAATTATTAATGGAATAAAAGTCATAAGAAAAGAAACTAAGAATGTTGAATTAAAAGGTCAATTTAGATTTTGATATTTAACAATGGTAAACTTCACAAAAATAAAGGAAAATTGGAGGAAGTACCAAAGAGCAGTTTACACCCAAAGAACATGTTTAACTAGAAAATACATGAAAATATCCATGGTTTAGTTGAGAGCCATAAAGATGTGGAAGGG